AATGAACAGAGCGAGCCCTGCCTGCCGGGCGCGAGAGGAGCCGTGCTGTTCACACACCTCACCTGCTGGCAGCCCCGAGCCGTCTGCTGGCAGCCCAGGGAGCCCAAGGGCAGGCAGGACAAAGCGCTGATCGCCGTGCCCAGGAAACAACGGGCTGGGCAGTAGCCAGCGTGGGAGCCTCTGAGCGCTGATCTCCCCTGAAAAATCCACCCCCCGAGAGCCGGAGCTGCCAACCTAGCCCTACGTACGGAGCGTCTCAAGCGTCGACACAGCCCACGTCAGCCCGAGCCCTCCCCAGGCAGATTACGGCCTTTCTGAGCAGCTGCTGCAGGTCAAACCCCGCTGGGCTAGTCAGACCCATCTGGAGAGCGCAGGTTACCCCCACCCTCGCTGTATTTACCCCCGACGCTCTGGTCCGTCACTTCCGCCTGTCCTGAGCAGCCCCCAGGGCTGGGCCTGGCAGAGAAGGGACTGGCTAATAGCAGCGGTTGGAAGCTGGAGTCAACTACCCGCAGCGGGCTCCTTGCACCGAGCAGGGCTCTCTACCCCCGGACGCCCGTCCTAGATGTTAGCCAAGGCCCCCCTGGCCAGGAGGGCTCGGCCCGCCGCTGGGCCCGGTCCCAGTCCCACGCTCAGCCCCAGCTGGGCGTCTTGGCTGAGATCTGGCTTTGCGTGGCTCAGGGTGGAGGGACATAAACAGTACCACGAACGCCGCCCATGGCATCAAAGGCAAGCGCTTGGGAGTGCTGGAGGCAGCTGGGTTTCCCGTCCCCTCTGCCCTTTGCGCTCCCTGGATGGGCTGTTGGAAAGGCCAGCGTGGTTTGTTTATGAGGCCAGCTCGTGGCCACGAGGAGCTTAAACACACACTCGTTGCTTGGCTACCCCCATGCTGCTGGCGAGGTGCCTGGTAAACACCAGCTGGCTGGGGTGCGGGGCTGGGGCAATCCCATGGCAGCCCCCTCGTGAGCCTTCGGGCTGGGCCCGGGGCCTCGCCTGGCGTGCACCTCGCAGAGCTGGAGGCTGGGTAGCGGTGGGGAACGGAGCCGTGCTGCAGCGGCGGCTGGCTCGCAGGGCACTGTTCGGTTCCCCAGCTGCGGGATCCGTGAGGCTGGGAAATCAGTGTCCTTGCAAACTAGCCCAGGCGGGTCCAGGGCAGCCTGCACCAGGCAACTGACCTATGGCCTTTCCCAGCTCTGGGCTGTTAATATGTTACCAGAGCCACTGATAACTGCGAAATCCTCCCCACTTCCCATTTTCTGCCCTTCCCCCATGGGGCTGGGGGTGAGGCGGGATGTGTGGGTCACTCCGGGGTGGGCAATGCAGGGGCACATGTCCACTAGCCCGGTTTGCTTGTCGGCCTGGAGGGTTTAGCTGGGTGTAGTCAGCTGGTTACTGACTCAGATCTGGGCTTTCGGAAAGGGGGATCCAGAAATCCGTGGGGCCCTGGCTCCCAGCCCCTGCATGGTGGTTAGACCAGGGCCCCTGGGGTCATGTGGGGCCTGGGCTGAGTCTGGTTTGCCTGGCCAGGGCCAGGGCCAGGGCTGGTTCAGGATTTCCGAGTGCACAGAAAACAAAGCAGCCCCATGTGGCACGGTCCAGAGAAGAGAGCGGGAGTGAGCGCTAAGCAGAGAGAGAAGATGGGCGGAGAAGGGGGGCGGCTGAGTGACGCTGCGCAGTGTCGCACCACGTCCCCTCTGGAGGAGGGACCCGAGCGTGGGATCTGTGACCCTGGCACCCGCGCCCCTCTCACCTTTACAGAGTCTGACCCAGTGGGCCCAGGGGCTGCTCCTGCTGAGCGAATCCTGCGCCCCGTGGCTCAGAACCACGGGAAACCCACCAACTCCCACTCCTGGGCTTGTGGTGCAGATCGTGGGGTTAGTTCCAACCTACCCCACCCCCCGAGCACAACCATCCGCCCCAGCAAGCGGGGCCGGGCAGAGCCCTGGGGAGACGCGGAAGGGCCTGCGCTCCTGCCAGAGCTGGTGGGGCTACAGGAACGGCTGCAGGGCGAGGGGGCTGCCCCACTATAAACCCTGAGCTGCAACTAACCTGCAGGAGGCAGGGAAGGGAAAGCCAGAGGCTCAAATCGTGGCCAAGAGAGCAGCCCCCTGCCCGGCTTTGTGCCTTTCCTTTACAGACCAGCTGCTGCTGCCCCCGACCCCTCTGGGCCGGTCTCACCGGCGGGGGGGGACCTGCCCAGCCCCACTTCTGAGCGTGCCTTCAGCTCTTCTCTCAGCCTTTGCCCCCAGGGTTACTCAGTAACCGGGACACGGTCTCTGAGCAGACAGCCCAATCTGCACTGGCAATCGTGCCAAGAGTGGGCAGTGAGCGCACACACACCTCCTCGCACACGCAGGAGCGCCCCTTCCACCGCAGGACTGGGAGAGTGCGGGAGGGCCCTTGGGTGGGTGACAAGTGCCTTTGCAATGGGGCAAGTGCAGATAAGCATGTGCGCACTTGGCAGGCAGCTGTGTGAAAGAGCGATGGTGAGTGTGCCGGGCAGTGTGTGCACAAGTGTGTGTGTGTGTGAGCACGTGCAAGGGTGAGAGGGTGGGACAGAGTGTAGGCAGTGTGTGTGTGAGAGCAAGGGGCAGGCTGTGCATGACTGTGTGGGGGTGCAGTAGCGTGTACCTGCAGCACCAGGGTGTACGGCTGTGGGGATGTCAGACGTGCCCAGTCCACCCATAGCAGGCTACAACCCTTGCCCTGAAGCTGCCTATGAGGTGCTGTGCCCAGGACCCCATCCTGGTCCGTGCCCCTCCAGGCAGGGGCTGGGAGATTAACTGAACAGCCTCGGCCCAGAGCTGGGCCGTGAGCCGAACCCCAGGCAGCCCCGGACCCCCAGGCCCAGCAGAGCTCCGCTTTGGCTCGACAAGCCCGTTTCCTGCCTGGGCTCCTCTTATCTCGGTGCAGCAGCTATTGGCAGCGCGGTCGGACCCTGCATGCGCCAGGCTGACATCGCCTCTCACACCCATGCCCGGTGCCCTTCCTCTGCTAGGCCTGGCAGGTCTGCACCGGGAGCCAGAGGAGGAGGAGTCCGACAGGCTCTGCCTGGAAGCTGCTCCTGACCCAACGCCCGGTTGCCTGCTGAGAAGGGGTGGGCGCTCCATTGCCAGCAGGGGACACACTGGCATCATGCCCAGGATAGGTGGGGGTGGAACGGCTGCCCAGGGCTCTCGCCGCTGCTCCCTGCCCTGCGAGGGCTGCGTGCTATTGGCCGCAGTGCCCCGGTTAATGCCGCCCGTGGTACGGCCGCCCACGAGCCCCTTTGCCATCCTCCGGGCAGCGGGCTTGGAGACAGAAATGGCCTCTGGGGTCTCTCCTTGTGCGGCCCCAGGCCCAGCACACGGCTCCTCCCGCTGGGCCTAGCTGATGGTTCCTGGCTCTGGCATTACAGGGAAGGGCCCACGGGCACGTCTCAAACATGGAGCCACTTCACCTCACTGATCTGCCCAAGCCCGAGCGCCGCCTCCAGCACAAAGCCGTTAAGGGACTTGCCCCGGGGAGAGAACCCAGGCGTCCGGAGCCCCAGTGCCATGGGGTAAATACCTGACCGCAGTCCCTCCCTCTGAAATGTGGGTTCGACTCCGGCTGCCCAGGGGCTGACGAGCAGCTCCCCAGCCGCAAGGCCGGCTAACCTGCCTCACCCCCAGGGTGCCCCCGTCTCAAGGAGGAAGAGGTCGCAGGCTCACACGAGGCCTGACTGAGGAGCTCCAGGTGCTAAATAATTCATGGAGCCACTATTTGCTCAGGCTCCCGCTTCCTGCCTGGCCGGAAAATCACTGCAGAGGGGGAAAGACAATCCGGGCAGGAGAAACCACACCTGACCTTGGTACGTCCTTTACCACCCTCCCTCCCCCAGCTGGCTGGCCGGATCGCCCGCCCCAGGGACACAACATGCAGCCAAGCAGCTGCACCCGCCTGGCACCTCTGGGGCTCCAGTTCAGAACGTGCATGAGAACCGCCAGGGGAATGAGTTTGGTAGGTCTCAGCCCTGCTTCCCTGTTCAGGCCCGTGACCCGCACCTTTGCTCATCTCAGCCTGGCTAACGGCCTCCACTCTGCAGAGGGGCCCAGCAGGGGAGCTGCAGGTCAGGAGTGAGGGGCATCAGCAGAGGTGTGGGGATGGGGAGCCCAGGTCAGGGATACCAGGGGGCTGCAGGGCAGAATTAAGGAGTGGCAGAGTGGAGGGTCGGTGGCTGCAGGGTGCAGAGGGGTGGTTAGGAATAGAGGGAAATTGGGGGAGGCTGGAGAGGACCCTGCCTCAAAAAAAAAAAAAAAAGAGAGGAAGCCAACCTGCACTGTCCGGGCTCCCTGGGAAGGGCTGGGACACCCTGTTTCCTATAACCCATGGCAGGATCCCACCCCTGCCACCTGACTCATCCACATTCCTCCTGCTGCAGGCCAGCCTCCTGCAGGGCGACCCGGGGAGCAGGGGCAGGCGCTGCCTTCGCGGGAACGAGGCCGAGCCGTGCCGGGAAGGGACGTGCTCGGCGGCACCGCGACTCGACCCACGGAAGGAACAAATCGGGCCATGGGGCCAGCGCTTCCTGCGGGGGAACAAGACGGCGAAGGCAGGAAGCTCAGTGGGGTTTACAACCGGCCCCAGGAAAACGTCGTTGACTGGATGAATTCCACTAGGGCAAAGCAGGGGCTGTCAGAGGCTGCGGCTTGGCCCCTGGAACGGTGATTTCCCCTCAGCCCCTTGCTCCAGGCACTTGGATTCAGTCTGGCCCTCTGAGCTCCAGCCACCACCACAAGCAGCTCTTCCCCGCCTCCCCTTCCCTCCTATGTTATTGCGGGGGAGAGATAAGTGAATTCCCCAGGCAGGAACCAATTTTCCCCTCCTCCACTCAACTGGCCTGCAAGATGTCCCCATTCCCTCTCCCACTTCCCCCCCAGAAGACCTACATGTGCAATGCGCCCCCTCCCCTCCGTTTCACATCTATTCAACCGAAGCTGCCCTCTCCGAGCCGGACAGGGACCAACCACTGCACCACGTAGGAAAAACCAGCTTTATTCTGCAAACACAGTGACCGAAAAAAAGCCAAAAGTCACTTGAAAAGGCAAAGGGACAGTTCCGCGCTGGGGGAGGGGGAATAACATTCGAGTCAACAGCACGCTCGCTCCAGCACCCCTGCGGCCCTGGGTACCCAGTCTGGGGAGGATAATCCCTGTTCTCGGTGGCACTGCGGTGATCCCGGAACGCCGCTGCTGACACCAACATGGACTCGCTCCCCCTGGACGCCGGGGCGAACGAGAGCAGAATCTGGTCCTTTGCATGTCGGAGACCAAAGATGGTAGAGGGACTGGCCACGCCCACATGATGTAGGCCACGCCCATCCCATACAATTGCGGGATCGGTAAAAAATCAAATGATTTGACAGTCCCTGTAGGAAGGCCCTGAATGCGGCACTCTGAGAGGCTGGAGAAGAGGCCAAAGGGTTGTTCAGAGGGGGGAGGCGGACCAGGCTGTCAAGAACCCGGGACAGCCCTGGATCTCGGTCTTTCCTCACTCAGTCTCCTCCCCTTCCCCCACACCACGGCCTGTTTCTTGCCTCTGATCTCACTCTGTGCCAGGAGATCACTCGCCCTCTCCGCAGCCAGCGGCATGGGAAGGGGATCAGTGCCGTCATCCCTTCTTGGCAGATGGGGAAACTGAGGCACAGCAGGAGTCAGGGCTGGGTGAGCGCTGTGGTGCTGCTGGTTCCCCGGCCTGCATTCTGACCCCAGCCCCACACCTCCCACAGCTCCACGCCTATGGTGGAGGAGGGGAGGGATCCCGGGACAGCTGAAGCCAAGAGGAAGCCCTGGGAGACCATGGCAGGTCTCAGAGCAGCTGGCTGGCAGCGCAGGGTGCTCACAGGGTGGGAGGGGGACAGGACCTCAACCCCAGTTCTGCTCCACCTGCATATCCACACGAGTGGGCTGCCAGGTTTTGCTGCCCCTGCCCCCATGCGAGACCGTTGCCAGCTCCCCACACAGCACGCACCCGGCTGCAGCAGCTCCCCCAGGAGCCACCGCACATGTGCATGGGGCATCTTGCTGCTGGCCCCAGTCTGCACCTGGCTGGGGAGACCCCCGCTTTGAGCACCAGCTGGGGCAAGAGAACAGACAGCAGTTGCTGCAGAAGGGTCAGTTCCCATACAGCAGTGCAGCAGATCCGTGAGCAAACACCTCTATGCACCTCGCTCTCCAAACCCAGGACGGAGACGCCCGGGAGAAAGCACCATGAGGTCTCCTGCGTCAGCTGAGGGGCTTACCGAGAGAACGCGTCTCAGAGCCAGGCAGGGACCCAGCCAGAGCCTGTGCTCTCCCGGCCAAGACGTGGTGGGGAAGATACCACACGGGCTTTGCAACAGGAAGGAATGGACCCCAGGGCAGGGCCTGTGGAGGACGCCAGTCGTGGGACCCAGCTTCTTCCATGCTGGGCTGAATGGGCGTGGCTCTGGGGCAGGGAATGCCACGCAGCCCCTGGAGGGCCCCACACCAAGGGCAACATCGGGGAGATCTGTGTGGCTCTGTCCAAGGCAGGTCCCAGCCGAGACCTGCTCAGCTCGGCTCCCTGCAAGCGGAGGCTCCATCAGACAGAGCTGCTCGCCGGTCTCCCACGTGAAGCTACTGCCTTCGAAGCCTGCAGCCGGGTGGTTCTCCTGCACCCGGACACCGAGTGGCAGATTGTCCCGGGGCTTCAGGAGGGGACGGGGAGCGAATCGATGGAGCCAGCGGGGAGAGCGGGCCCTGCAGCAAAGCGAACGTGGCTCATGCAGCCAAGAGGCGATTCCCACGGGGACGAGGCGCCAGGCAGCACATGCTCACCGCTGCCAGGAGGGTGAACGCTGCCAACAGGGACCGTTCCCACGTTCAGGACCCAAGCCCCTGGAGTATCCCAGCTCATAGGCAGCCTGTGCAGTCCAGCGTCCCCAGCAGGAGGATCAATAGCACAGCGGGGTTGAGGGCCAAGCCAGTGTTTTGCAGTCTCTGGATTCCCTCTGCGGATGGCTGGGCGGGGAAGGAGCTGGATTCTCTCTCCTCTCCTGGGCTTAGACCCAGCCTGGCTGGAGGCTCTAGGATCAGTTCCCGTCGTTGGCCTTGGCTTGACTGTCCACGGGTGGGGAAGGAGACAGGTTCCCTCTTTGGAGGAAGGGGATCGCCGGTGATTTCTAGAGCAGCAGAAGCCAGGGCAGGGATCCCTACCACCTGCTCTTGCTGTACGGAGAGGGAGCCTAAAGCAGAGAGACGGAGATCAGGACTCCGCAGCCGGAGCGTAGACCTGGAATTCCCCTAGACATGGCCAAGTTGGAGTCAGCAGGGGTTTGCCCAACGGCCTCTCACTTTGTCACACGCCCAAGTCTGGGCCTTGGTTGAAGTAAACAAACCGATTGTTCTGAGAATCTAGAAACGAGCCAGTTCCTGGCCGGGACAGGTCAGACCCCATCAGAAAGGCAGCGATAAGAACCCCACGATGCCAAGGAGAATAGTGCGTTCTAGTCGCACGCAGGTGAGGGCTTTGCGGGGTTTCATCTTAGGGGGGATTTATTGGAGAGGGGAGAGGCCTGGACACACAAACCTTCGGCTCGCTGCATTCAGAGAGCAGGGAACAGCCCACTTCCACCGTCTCTGAATTCTAACGCAAGAGGGGCAGGGATGGGCTAGGGTTAGAGCCAGGACTCCTGGGTTCTATTCCAGCTCTGCTACTACTTGCAGTGAGGAGGTGGGCAAGGCCTGTTGCCTCAGTTTCTGCATCGGAGACACCAGTCCTGACCCCCCCGCGCAAGGGAACCGGGAAATCTCATCCCCAGCTGTGGAAGGAGGGTTTTTATTCCCAGACCCTTCGAATGAAGCATGATGGATCTCCGATCCCTGCAGATCCCCAGGCCAGCTGGGAAGGCTGGAGTTAACAAGAGGATGCAAGGACGATGGGTCCCAGTAGCAATACAATCCCTTGGATTTACACTCAGGAGGCATTTCCACCAGGAGCTCTCCAAACACCTTCACAAAGGGGGGTGTCTGTCTAATCCCTATTTAACAGGTAGGGAAACTGAGGCACAGAGCACGACGGCCCCATAGGGAGACAGTGGCAGTAGAATCCCCCGCCCCCGATTCCCAGCTCCCCCTGCTGTAACCACTCGTCATGCTGCCTCAGTGGCACAGCTCCACATTATCACAGACCTGGACGCCCTTGCCATCCTTCTGGGCTGCTGCGTGCCAGCTCTGTGCCGCGTAGGCATCCTCTGCGCGCAGGGTGGAGTTGGCACTGCTGGTCACCTGGCTGCTGGCGCTGGCCCGGGGGAGAATGACGTTGTAGTTGCCTTCGGACTGGAAACAGAACAAGTGAGGACAGGGCTGAGAAGAGACATGGCTGGCACTTCGGAGTGGCTTACCTACCCCCCAGCTTCCCCAAGGGTCTCCTGGCTTGCCACCCAGCCACCCAGCCCCACCCCTGCACCCAGCCCTGTCCCTGCAGGGAGGGGCTCTCCAGGCACCAACAGGGGCCATTCAAATCAGCTCTCACAGTCTAGGTAGAAAGTGCACAGCCTGTCCACTCACCTCCCTCATCTGCAATGGGGCTAGGGATGCCCAGGTAAAGAGCACCTGGTGCAACCCGCCCCCAGCCCAACCATGCCAGGCTGTGCCCGGCTGCACCCTAACGTGACGGGAATCTGGAGCAGCTCACGGCAGGGTGCTGGGGACCAGTTTCTTGCTCAGTTCACTCCCGTAACACAACCGAGATCAGGGCCCACCGTGCCAGGCGTTGCAGTCACCGCGTGGGAGACGATCCCTGCCCACACGGCTTCACAAGCTGAACAGGCCAGACAGGCAGAGGGCGGGAGGGGAAACTGAGGCCCAGAGGGAGGAGCGACTTGCCCAAGGAAGCTCAGCAGGCTAGCAGCAGAGCTGGGGATGGGACATACACCCCCCGGCGCCCTGCCTCGCTTGGCCACAGCCTCGTGTCCTGGCCGGACAGCGGGGCCTGTGCTGGGACATTATCCCGTCCTGCGCCCAGGGGATACCCAGGCAAGCAACCACCGGCTGGCTGACGTGGGGAGAACACACACACAGTCCCGGTCTGACTTACGGGCCCTTTGTGCATCAGAGCCATCTCCGTGGGCTGGAACACGCTCGTCACCAGCTGCCCGTTGTACCCGCTATAAGGTGACACCGGTTTCTTGCCTGCAAAGAGAAAAAGCACCGGGCACGCTCAGAGGTGGAGTCAGATTTATTGGGGCTCTGAGCACAAAGAACATTTGGGCCCCCTGCATGCCGGGGGCAGAGGTGCCTGGCCAGGTGCCCATGCCCACCCACTTTAACATGGGCACAGTCGCCTCGGGCAGGCGTGGAGCAGCGGCGGCAGGGGAGCTGATCCAGCCTCTTCCCAGGGGGGCAGGGACACGGGTCAGGGGCTGTTCTCAGGCTCCCCCATCCAGGGCTCCCCATGGCAGCTTTTACCACTGCCCAGCTCCAGCTTTGTGGCCTGGCCAGGGGGTGGGGTCCCGGGGAAGAGGAGGAGCAGGGGACGGGGTCACAGTTCGGGCACCGGTGCTGCCCCCCCCCCCACGTCTACAAGGTTCTGGCATTCCTGGGACCCCCAAAGTGGCCGGGGCTCCTGGGCACAGGACCCATGGGCCCGTGCGTTAATCAGCCACTGGCCACGCTGAAAGGGAGTAGACAGACTTCTCTCCGGAGGGCAGGGACCTCCTGGCTGGACACCGGCATCGATGGCTGCGGTCTGACACAAGCCCACTGAAATCAATGTGCTGTTTTTCACGCTGCCTTAACAACCGGGCAGCCTTCCAGCGCGGGCAGGTGGCAGCACTCAGGAGGCGACATACAGACTGTTGAGTCATAGAATCACACAGACCTGGGGCTAGAAGGGCCCTTGAGAAATCACCCAGTCCAGCCCCCCGCAGCAGGCAAACCTAGACCACCCCAGTGCACCAGCTGGCTTAGGCCTGCTCCACGCACTGGGAGAGCCACGTCAGCGAGAGTTACACCAGTACAACCCCACGTGGGGCCGCAGTTACGCGGCGCTCCAGGGGCTTTATACTGGGATCTTTTAGGGTTATACATGGGACTGCCTGCGACAGCAGGAACTGGACTCAGGGACCCGTCTACTCCCATGTTCCTATCTTATTCCCCAGCGGGTACTGGTACCAGCACCTGTCCCGGTCTGACTACGGCCCCTCCCTAGACCGGTGTCATTAATGGGGTACAACGTGCGTGCGCAGACCAGCCCTACAGAGCAGGAAGCAAGGAGCTGTTTATGGCACCGCACGAACAAGCAGGTTCTAATGAGCTCACTCACAAGAGGGCCTCCCCCCGGGGGCGAGCAGCTGGGGGCTGGAGGCCAGGCTTGGTTGGCCCCAGTCCCAGCAGCAATTAAGTCACATGCAGTCTTAGCCAATCAGCCCCAGTCCATGTTAATTACACGCAAGCAATGGCTTGTTATCGTAGGGTCACCTGGGAGCTCTGGCCTGTGCACACGGCTGGTTATGGGGGGGCTGCGCACGCGTGGCAAACACAAGTGTGTTAGTGTAGGGTGGCTCGTGAGCCCTCGGTTACACGTGCTGCTTTGTTCTTGTCCGGCTTCTCGATGGAGCTGTGGCACCGCACAGGTTTGTTCTTGCAGGGTCTCCTGGACGTTGCTGGGCTTAGCGGGGGGAGGCCAGAAGAAGTAGCAGCTACACTCTCTCTTAGCGGAGGAAAAGCCCGTGAAGAACGCTGTGCTCTTGGCAACAGGCACAAGGGAGAAAACAGTTGGGCTCCCAGCTGTGAATGTCCCAGGCCAGCACGCAGCCGGTGTGTGCTTCCGGAACGACAACAATTGAAGTCATTATTTCAAACCAGTCCAGGTTGGTAGTGAGCAGATATCTGGCTGTTCCCTCACCAGATCCAAGCGCACAGGTGGTCTCTGTCCAGGTCCTGCTGAATGGACCGTGTCACAACAAACCTTCCCACCAGGGCAGGCTGCCTGGCTGACAACTGCTCCACAAAGAGGTGTTTGTATTGCTGTAGCACCTGAGGGGCCCCCCGTCAGCATCAGAGCTCCGCGGCGCTAGGCGCTGCACGCACACAGGGCCCTGCCCCAGAGAGCTCGCCGCCTAACACACCAAGACACTACCTGAGTGGAAGAGGCAATGGGGGTGAGGCGGCCCGAGGGGAGCAGGGAGAGAGACAGGCAGCTGCCACGGGTGCAGCCTAGACCTACTGAGTCACACAATTCGAGAACATAAACAAACAAGTTTGATCTCAGTCACGCCCCCGGGCACTGGCCCCGCCACCCTCAGCAGGGGTAACATCAGACACCTGGGTATCATGCCAGACATAACCCTCCTCGTGCACCGGGGCCCGTAGCCTCCAGTTCCCTGCCAAAGCCACGGCTCACAGCCCGCTCTGTCCATGTGATGGGCCAGCTCTGTCAGCGGCAACAGCCCTAACACCACCGCTCCCTGGCCCCGTCCCAAATATTTGGCTAATGGAGACTGGGAATGGAAGCCGCCCTGTGTCGCAAAGGGCTCAATCCTGCACGGCGCCGAGCTCCCCCGAGAGGTGCTATGCAGCCAGCTCCCA